CTGAGTAATGAGGTAGATGAGCACACATTTTAGTTTGAGGGTCACAAATACTAAGTTCTATCCTTTGGAATAAAAAAAATCTTGATATAATTTTCTCCTGTAAATTGTTTGGATAACAATTGGTGAATAGGAGAAAAAAAAAAGGCAGGGAACACAATTAGAATCTTGCACAGGAATCTCTAGTTACATGGAAGTGTGTCAGTCACACTGGACTCAGCATGACCTGATCAGAAAGCATGCATAAGTTTGTGTTCTGGTTTTTCTATGGTGAAAAAATTAGTATGTTAGCTTTGATTATGGTTATGATATTTATTATTATTATTATATAACTATTAATACATACAATGGTACCTTGCAAATACATACAGCGGTACCTTGATTCACCAACTCTTGTTTGCAAACAAATTTGTTTTGCCAACAAAAGCATTTGGCAAAATTTTGTTTTTGTTTGCTGCGAATTCTGCATTGGGAGATGAACACTACTGCAGCCATCTTTTCTGCACAAACACAAATGTGGCCATCTTTTTCAAAATTATGGAACAAATTAAGTTGTGCACTGAGGTGCCACTACTGCACAGGAATATATGAATTAGTGCTCTTCCACAGATTTACTTTTGGGCTTTACTGAGAGGGGAAATTATTCCTGGGGGTGAAATGGGACAACTGTGTGTTAACCGTACAGCTAAGTTCCCAGAGTTGTGGTTATGATCACAGCTGTGTAAGGGTTCAGCTACAATGTAGTGTCAGTGGAGCATCATGGTCCTGGAAAGTCCTGCTCGTTTCCCACTCCCCCTAACCACTGCTCTGCTTCTCCTTCTGTAATCATTTCCCTTGGTGATGAGAAATTTCCCTGTGGCCACAGTGTCAAAGTGCTCAGGGCTCTCAGGAGACATAAGTCCTCTGTAGAGATGCCAGCAAAATAAATTTGCCATTTTCTCCTACTGTGTTCCTGGGTGATTTGTTCTGTTGGGAATCCTATTCCTTTTCCTGCTTCATTATGACTTATTGACCTGAAATAAAATCTCTCAAAGTTGGAGAGACCATTAAGCTGACCTGGAAGAGAATATAGACCCCAGCTAAGTTGTGGAAGCAATCCAAATGCCCGTCGGCTGAAGATGTGGTATTTTTACATAACGGAATATTACTCAGCTATAAAGAAAGATAAACTTGAGGCTTTCATAGGTAAATGGATGCAACTAGAGTCCATACTCATAAGTGAAATAAATCAGACCTGCATGTGCAGATACTGTATTGTCTCACTAGTGTAAGAACCTGAAAGAGTAAATAAAATCTGAAAGGCATAATAGATATTGTGAAAGGGAAAGAAACTGCTCAAAGGGAAGGAACAACTGGGATGAGGGAAAAGAGAAGAAGAAATAAGGGAAAAAAATACACACACACACACACACACACACACACACACACACACGCAGGATAGCTGAGAGAGTTGTACTACTGACTTCTATTCCTTTATTGAATGGAACAGTTAAAGTTTAATTGTTTGATCAATCTTACATGCCTATATTTGTTTAACTGAGTAACAAATTTGAAGATAACAATATATAATACCATGACCATTGTTAATTTCCTATCACCTTTTCTGAAATTCTGTATTGCTTCTATTGTTTGGGTGTTGTTTCATTTATGTCTGTTTGTTTGTTAATGTGTTTTCATTCTTTTATATTTAAAATAAAAAAAGAAGATAGACCCCAAGATAGAGAGATTGTCTTGTTACTGTTACATTTTTCTTTCCTTTCATTTTATTTCTACCACTTATATTATTCCAACATTGGGCCAATTTTTTATCTTTGAGGACAGCATATGTCAAGGATTCTTTCCTCTCTTTGGTAGTGTAGTCAGGAGAGGAACTTTGATAAGCATACACTATACTTTTCTTCTTTTATCTGTTAGAGAAGATTTGTATTTAGTCCACAAGAATTAATAAAGTTGTTATATGAATAAGTATAAGGCAAAGGTACACCGCTATCTTGATGTTCATATGCCCACCGCTTGATTTTTTCACATCTTTCCTTTCCTTTCCTTTCCTTTCCTTTCCTTTCCTTTCCTTTCCTTTCCTTTCCTTTCCTTTCCTTTCCTTTCCTTTC